CGTGTTCGCGCGATTGATTCATCGTGAATCCTAGGCAGGCAACGTCGTTGGCCCGAATCGAAGTTAAAGCCTGTGAACAGCGATTGATCTCTTGTTTCTCTCGTTAATTGAATTGATTCCGTTCGGGGTAACTTCCGGGGCGCGAGAACCAGACCCTCACACTCTTCCGATCCAGTCCATCCACTGTCGATTCTCTGTTTTGTAAGGCATCGTCTTCGCGTAATCTACCTATTTTTTCGTCTGTTTGCAGATACTAAATACCGATCGCAAGGCAAGGCTTTCGACATAGTTCGCAGACTTCATTTTAATTTCTCTGGAATCATGGCTTTTGAATATGTCGAAACTCTGACACATTCAGAAATGGTGTCGGAAAAGAATGTAAAAATTTATTGAAGCGAATGGACAGATTTTTTTTCTTGCATTCATGTTTTATTTGAGCGAATCACTTCATCATGTTTTCGTTTTATTAAAAGGAAATACGTACACACAACGCGTAGAATATTTGAGAAAACAAAAATTCAGATTCAATTTCTTCAGTCATGTTTAGAAAAATGTCGAAGCGTATAAAAATCCGCAATTGAGATGTTATAATTAGAAAATTGCTCGAAATGGAAATTTTTGAAACTCGAGAAGTTTATGATCTCTGAAGTGTTTAAACTTGCCAGGTTAGAATCTTTAGACCATCGTTAGAATTTTTTTACTTTACAGACGTTTCCTAAATCTCACGTTATTTGATTATCTATTTCCTATTAATTCATCTTCTTTCTATTTTTATCACTACAGCCATTCTACGAATTACAGTCAATTCGAATATTTTACATACATGCATTTTTTAGACTTTTCGAAGTTTAAATTCTTCTGATAGGAAAAGACCTCTAATAATAATTCACGATGTGAATTAACAAAGAATACCAATACCATTAAATTGTAACAGAAACGTTGGAGAAGTCTTGAAATCGTTTAACAAGAAGATTCCAGCGAAAGAATAAATTAAAATTGAATACTATCGATAAAAATTTCAACCCTCGAATATTTTGTAAGGCGAAACACGCATACGGACGCTATACTTCTTTTTTTCGCAAGCGAATCGATTCTCCCAGCATCCCTTCCTCCCCCAGTGTCCTCTTAAAAATTTCAAATATCATTCTCGCCGGCTTACTTTCATCCCCCGAATCGATACTACGGTTTCAAAGTTTCAAGAATCAATCCTCCCTCCGAAAAGCGTCTCGTCGTTTATGCCGCGCACAAGGGATGTTCGAGGTTCTTCGTAGAGTCATCGTAATTCAAAGACTTCACATCGATGTATAGCAAAATGGAATTGACGCATGATTCTTTGAATTCGGTGACCTGTAAATGGTGCACGACGCGCAAAGTGATAAAAGATTCCGATTCTAGACAGAGAAAATGATTTTGGATTAATTTGTATTACATCTCGACATTTAGTAATTGCAACTTCATATGCATGTATTTTTATAATGGAAGATTTACATGTTCATCGGAGATGGAAATTGTAACAAAATGAAAAAGAACCAACAAGGGGTTAATATTTTATTTCATTTCGTTAATCAATGTCCCCGTCTACTTATTTAAAATTCCATTTGATTACTGAAATTAATTTTTCTAACAATCGAGTGAAACACCATCTTTGTCTAGCATCTAGAAATCGAATTTTTACCACCGTGCGACGTGAATCTCTCCGAGGGCACGGTCAACATCTTCGAGACGCCTTCCGTTTCGGCACTTGGCACCCCTTCGTGTATCCACCCACCGATTACCTCTTCCATCTCCCATGTCCAACCTATAATTATCCGCGCCGACCTCTCCATCGACCAGCCGGCCTAGACCATCGGTTAACAAGTTGTCCAGCCTTTTACCATCGTACGAGATGTCGCTCAGCTCCACCGTCGGGGATTCCGGTATCGTGTAGCTCACCACGCCACCTGAAACACGGCGGAGAAGTTTCCACGATGACAACTGCGACGACAATGCTTCTCTCTTTTAAAACAAGCTCGAGCAACCGGCCAACTTTGCGCTATTCGCTTGCTCTTCGCTTGTGCACCACGAGGAAGGAAGTTGGAGGGCTGTACACGGGGATGAAAGAATCGTTGCGTTGACAGCATTGTTTTCTCATCAGGTCTTGAATTGCGTTCTCATATAAATTTTACAACTTAATTCAATAATCTGTATAGTACGTTTAAAAAGGTCAGAACGAGCCGTATATTCAAACGAAAAACACAGTTCGATGGTTACAAGCTCGTTGAAACATTCAGTTCAACAGTATTTCTACGCTGATACGAATTTACTCGTAGCCAAAATCGAACGATGCATTTTCTGCAACGAGAGCTAAGATTCAATATTTTCTTGGCGCGGCGGGCAATCGAAGACTTGTCGACCGCATCGCGTGACACGGTTCACCGGCCACGAATGTAGGCACTGTGAAATATTGAGAGCAGTTAGGCGATTCCAAGCACGACACACGGCGAAGTGGTCGTGCCGTTTTTGTCGTTAATTATTAATTTCTCTGGCCGCGAATGCCCGATCTCTTGGACACGCTGTCTCGACACTCTCTCGACCGATCAGGGATCGACGGATTACTCTTACCAACCGAATCCTCTTGAAACTTCTTATCTGAATTTCTCTGACGAATTCCCAGCATCTATCCATTATTCCTCAACGTATCAGTCCGACATATCGGACCAAACTTTCCTCCGGAGACTTGCTAGGAAAAATTTATCACTTTTCAAAACGCTTCCCGCGTCAAAAAATTAAGCAAAATCAGATATCTGACTGACGACTGTAGAAAGAATGTTTCATTCTTTTTCGTCATTCTTCTTTTAATCACGCGATTCTCCAATTTTCTTTCTTAGACTCCCTCTCATGAAATCTAAATTTTCAATACAATTTCCCAAACGAGATTCGACAACGATTCGACTATCTAACACCGAGAGACAAAGAATATTTTTTCATTCTTCCGAAAATGTAAGAATTGTTTTGTTTGCTTTCAAACTTCTTTCTTCGACTAGTTCAAAGAAATCTACTTTTGCTAAATTCCCTAAACTAGACGAAATTCAATAGCGATCCAACTGGCGACTACTGAAAGAAAGAAAGAAAGAAATTTCATTCTCAAAATACCGTTCTTCTTCGGATCGAGGAAGGCAAGTTCATCTGACAGAGTGTTGTCATTTTATTTTTCTTCTTCTTCAGAATCAGCTACTCGGTTCCTTCGAGAAACCTAAACTCCCTTTTGCTGAATTTTTTAAATTGAACAACATTCGACAGCGATCTAACTATTCATTTCCTTCAAAATACTGTTCCCCCTCAAGATGCAAGAATTGTTTTTTTATTTATTTAATTGCTAAGTTCTTTAATCTCCCTTACTAAAGATTGCTTTTATCAAACTCTCTAAACTACACAAAATCCAACTAGCAGTTATTAGAAGAAAGAGAACATTTCAGTCCTAATTTTTTGTTCTTAAAATATTCTTCTCAAGATGCAAGAATTGTTTCGTCTACTTGATTTCTACATTCCTTTCTCCAATCCTCTAAAAAGATCTATTTCCATTATTAAATTAAACAAAAATTAAACTTTTTAAATTGAACAAAATTGAACAAAAATCAACAACGATCACGATCAGTCGAAAGGAAGTCAATATTTATTTTCAAAATACAATTCTTCACAAAATAAGAGAATCGTTCTATTTATGTTTAATTTCCTTTCTTCAGTCCTTCTAAAATGCCCTGCTGTCACTAAACTCTCTAAACTAAACAACAAACGCTGATAATTATTCGTAGAAGAAAAGCAGTGAAGTTCAAGGTGAAGACTTTTATCGCTCATTTTGTATTGTAATAAATTTTGCTGTTATTATACGTTAATACGTTTCATATAAAAAAAGGTTTGGGTAAGAAAAGTTTCAACAGTAAATTAGGAATTGTCGTTAAAACGAAAGTAGTAATTCTTTGAGAAAAGATAGCTGTGATAAAACAATGCATAAATGATAGAGCTAAAAAGAATATAAATCAAGTGTAAAGTAATAAAATATTTAGTTACCTAGTAAGATAGTAATAAAACTTAAATAATACTTGAAGAATGAATCATAGATCTGATTGCTAAATATCTACGAAAATTGAAGAGAGCTTCGCATGAAACTGTAAGAAATATTAATAAAGGATACACATTTAAAAATATAAGAGACGAGAATATCGCGACATAGTTCTATATTTAGTATAACAGAAATGGAAAGAAGATCGATACGATCTATTTGCTCCGTTATTTATATTGCTTTAATTTTTATTTGGCTTCATCTTATATAAACACACACTTTCCCGTTCTGTTATAATTATAAATTTAATTGTACTCCTTCAATTGTTCAATTGATCGCTTTAATTTCTAATATAAAGACACGGGTATTATAATTGGTCAATTCTATAAAAATTGCCGAATTATTAAGGTGAATAATTCTTAAGTGAGTCGTCAAAAAAATTCTTTAATTATTTGAGCAATCTTTAGAATATTCCTTGAAATGTATGCACTAATGAAAGATGAACGAACTTATTATGCGACTCGATAATTTGAACCAGTACTCTGTTACACAGTAATTTTCCATGAATAATATCAAGTTGCTAACTAATAATGCAAATTGTAACACACACTTTCGCCATATAACAAATAGGATCATTAAATATAATTTGTAAAATTTACTTTTATAAAATACCATTTGTTTCATTACCAAGTTGATTAATAGCGTATTTAACGATGCTAACAATCTGTAACCTGCGATTTGTGATATTATTAATTAGTTAAATTGTACAAAATGGTCCTGAAGCTAATGAAATGGAAAATTGCAATAGCATATTATCGATGTATATTGCAATTCATTAATTGCAGAGACCTCTTGTACAATTGAACTAATTATGAGCGAAATTTTACAAATCACAGGTCGCAAGTTATTAGCGTTAGTAAGTAGCTTTGTCCAACAACAGATGTAATAAGTTTGGCAATGGAGCAAATGTTTCAAAAGCTTGATAAATTACCAGTTACACATCGTCGTCAAACAGGATGATCGCAATAACTTGCAATTTGCAAAGGTCACTTACTTTTGAAATGTTACTCGTTCACGTTAGGACAAGGGTATTTAGTAACACTGGTAATTCCTTGCTAACTTAGTTCAATTGCGCAAAAGGCCTCCGCTGTAAAAAGACGTTCTCGCGCGACTCTCGATAATTTACGAAGCTTCTTATCAACCGCCGAAATCCATTAAAGGCCTCGCGTCGATGTTCCGCCAACTTCCGTGGCGCATGCATTAAAAGTACATATCCCCGTGTTAACACGAAAGCCGTGTACACACCCGCCCGTTACCGCGACTTCGCCCTGTAATCCGGCAATCCGCTAATCTAATCTGCGCCAGCAATCCTCCTCCCGGCCGCCACACAAATTATTACGAAGTTTCATCGAGTGTCGTTAGAGCAATTTCCAGGGAAGTTGCCCTCAAAGGCGAAGAGTGCACTCGTAACAAGTTTCGAAATCAATCCGTCCCCCCCCCCCCCCCCCCCCCCCCCCC